GTTTTTAATCTCCATCAAAGGAATTAGTCTACCATTCCATTATTTCTCCCTCCATCTCTACGTAGCAACACCTCCAGGTCATCCTTCAATTGTAATCGTGTTCTTCTCAAAATTAAGGTTTCTTCTTCTTCGATTTTAGTTTGTATGTCCGCCTTCAATATTAAGATTTCGTTTTAAATCACATTAGATAAATAGATTTTAAGAATGTTTTTGTTTTTACTAAGATATGCTCTATTAATTTCAAATTGTTTTTAAGGATATAGTTAAAATTAATAATTAGGAAGCAATTTTGAAGTGTTTCTATCTAGATCTCCATTTAATTTTCATTTCCTTAATTCAGTTGTTTATTTTTGTGTAAATTATTAAGGTTATAGTAGTTCAAAGATCATGATTTTTGGATATCTACTAGGGTTTTCTAATGCGGAAAATATTGAATTACTACTTTGGCTCCAAGTTAAATATATATTTTGTTCAATAGATATCGTTGTTGTTTGTTGAACATAAACAGAGGTACAAAAAAGTAAGAATTGTTATTTAATTAATTTTTCTTCTTTGAATGAGAGAATTTTATTTAAGTACAAGAAGAAAAGGACATAGAAAACACATGTTGGTCAAGAAATATGATGATTAACCCAACATTTGTCATCATCTCCATTTCATTCTCTTGGAAACACTGTAGAGGATAAAATGATTTCTTGGTTTCCCTTGAACCGCGTAGAAGAGATCAAGAATTTTTGGATACAACCTGATCATTCCACCAATCTTTATTTTAAATTAAAACTAGAGCCTGAAAGGTGAAAAATGAAGAGTTTTTTAAACTTTAGTTTTCTGCATTTAGAATTTAACCATTCTATACCATTTGTAGACTACAAATTAATGTGAATATGTTTAGTTTTTCAGATTTTTTTTTTAAAGTTCCATCTTTGTTGAATTTTTGGATTATTATGTGTTGAATTGTTGACACACATACGTGTTCGACTATAGAAATATGTCACATGGCATCTCCGATATGTCCCTCGAGTGTTTCAGAGTTTGACGACAACTTGTTGATCCATCAATGTTCAACCCCCTCCAACTAAATTTGCAAGTAGCATGTTTGTTTTAGGTATTCATGTTATCTAATCTTATTTACATTGATGACATGTAGATATCGAAAATGTTATGAGATTCGCTATCTTGTATGGTGGTACATTCGTCAACATAGAGGACAAGTAAAAGTGACTTAGGAACCGAACAACATCAATTATTATTCAAAGTGACATTAGATATGAAGAGATTGTCAATAAATTATTCGAAAGCATAATCTTAACAAGATGAAATTTTTAATCCATCTGACATTTAAAGTTCTGATCATGAATGTACCCCTCGCTGATGTAGCTAACGCGAGGATTTGTAATGATACACTGACAAGACATAAAAGATCGACAAGCACATAAAAATGTGGACAATGCAAGCGTTATGGACACGGACAAATGTGTAGGAACTTAGAGTGTGCTTGATTAAATTTATTTTCCATGGAAAATATCAATTTTCCATCCAATTTCTTACTTGGAGTGTTTGATTGCTATTTTTTTCCATGGAAAACATTTTCCAACTTTTGAAAATATGCCTAATTTTCCTTGTTTTTAAGGGAAATATTTTCCTTGGATAGAGGTGGTTTTTATTTTCCACAAAAGATGGAAAACATTTTCTTTTCTAGATAATATTTTCCATGTCAATCAAACACACTCTTAGTGTTAACTAACACGTGCACTTGAATGTTTTGTGTATTTAATGATATCATGAAATTCGTAATTCAGGAATAATTAAAGAATCTTCAACCACATAATATACTTTTGCATTTCATACATTGTTTTGTCAATTCATTTTAACATTTAATAGTCATTTGAAGAACAATACATTATGTAAAATTAGTAGTATGATTTCAACATCATTATACAGTCAGTTACTGAGTTCAAAATAACGACAATTCGAAATCATCTCCAAGAGTTCATAAACCAATCAAACTACATTAACTTCACTTTTTTTTAGCATAAATCATGCCAACGACAATGAATTTCTGATTTGAAGCGTTCACAAAATGACAATGTACGAAGACATTTACATGTCTTCAACAATGAGTTTGTTTTAACTCTTCTTTAAACTTCAGTTCAAATGTTACTAGTCCGTTAATTGGGTTAAGTTTCTCTTGGAAAACCATGACGTTCTTGTCATTAGAAAAATTGTTATTGACATTTGAATCGTGTTTATCTCAACACTTGACAATTCATTTTTTAAGAACGAGAATTCGTTCCGATCTCGAGAGTTCTATACATTTCGTATATTTCTTGACATTTGAAGTATTGTTCTCAACCTTAAATATCTATTAATCTCAACAATTGATATTTCAACTATCAAGAATGACAGTTCAAAAATGATAACACAATACAAGAACTGAATAATTTGCTAGTATTAAAACAACCGTAATGTTTTCTCGATTTCAAATTTACATCAAATGAACAAACTTTACCATCGACCAAAAATCTGCCAAGGATGGTACACAAAATAACGTTGCAAATGTTTTTCCAAATAGAGAATATTATACTTCAACAACATTTTAAACTAACTATACATCCATCTAACATTTTTTTACGATCGGAACGGGACAAAGTAGTCCTCATACTAGCACTGGGCATCTTCACCCTTAATGATCGAGGTTGGCATGGAGGTAGAGCATTGACGTTAAGGGGATCTACGATGGTGGCAACATCATCCAATGGATTACTAATGGAGACATCAACTGGGTGTGCAGTTTGTAGTGCCCTGTGCCGACTTGTGATATTTGTGAAGGAACGTGCTCTTCCTTCGAAATTTTATATCCATGTGAGGTAATCATCTATAAATACAAAAAACAAACAAAAATAATAATATTAGAACCTACTAGGAAATAAAATGCCCTAAGAAATATATGAAACCAATTAACAATTGAAAATACATGCTATCTAATCAAATAGCTAACACAAATTCAACAAAATGTAAGAATTTAAAATTCTAACTATTTCTAATAAATATGTAAGATTTATAAAAGAACATGGTTTATGGTCTTTATGTCTATTTCAAACTTCAATCCACCCCTACACTCAAAACAAGAAGCTATAGATTAGAAAGTAGAATCTTAATATTGACACACCAATCTCCTAAACATGAATGTTAATATTGATAGATATATCTCCCACATAAGACCAGACCTATAATACACGTGTTGCTTCTTAGCTTTCAAATTCAACTGTATTATCAGTAGTAAGGTGTGATGCTCAAAATCAATTGCAAAACAAAAATAGGAAGATAAATGTACTTTAATATTTATGGAGATCTGAACTAACCAAGACAATATTACCCTATTATTTGTTAAAACATAATTTTTAAAGAGGAATAACATGAACCACATATTCTCCAATTTGATGATCTACAGAGCTAGTAAATCAAATTAAAACGACTATACTAACAAACAAATTTAGTTTAAAAAATCAAGCAATTAACAAATCAAGTTAGTTTAACAAATTAATTAAATGAAAACAATAATAATAATGACACATGTTTCAAGAAGTTTAATAAACTAGAAGTCTTTAATTTTTAACTTAAAAGGGAAAAAAGGGCTTATCAACAATCTCAAGTATAAAACAATGTCCAACCCCAACCCCAATAAATCATTCTTGAGCTGTAAAGGAGCAAAGAAAATAAAAAAAATTAATGGCAGAGAACAAGGAAGAAGATGCTAGGCTTGGAATCAACGAGTTCATATTGCAATGGCGAGATTAGGAGAATATATAGATAGTTGTGAGAATTCCTCATTTATACAAAACACTTCAACACAAGTTTCAAAACACTTCTCCCAACAAATTCTCCATTGGAAAATTCTATACGTACAGACCACATTTTTACAGATTCCTTACAAAACTTTAAAAAAATAATGACGTGGCCCAAAAAGAAAGAGGAAAAGGGCGGGAAGATAAAAGAAAAAAAAAAAAAAAGGAGGGAAGAGATTGACGACTCATTCTTTCTTCCCAAAAACAAAGCTCTAGAATGGTTTAGAGGAAATGAAGCTTTTCCCATGAAATCCTAGTGAATCTTACCGGTCGGAGGTCGTCTCCTCCGTCCCGTGAAGGCAAGTGAAAGGGGCGTTCGACATGTGCAATTTTAAGTCCGAAAAACTCGTCGAGTTACTTCACCGGAAAGAGGAAAGCAGAATCTGAGATTCTCTCCAAATATCCAATGCCAGGTACCTCATTATTTTTCTAAAGTTTACTGGTAAACAATTAGTGGATACAGGAAGTAATTTATTGTAGTTGCATTTTATTTTGTGGGTTGGTAAATACAAACTAGACAAGGGAGCAAGTCAAAGTGACGAAGATAAATAACACAAATTAGGGCCTTTAGAAGATTACAGTGTTGATTTATTTGGAAAATAGATTTTTTATGTCTGGGCACTTGTTCCATTATTAATGCTTAAACTTTCATTTTCCTTGAACAAGTTACTTGAAGTACTTCATCATATTGCTTCTCGTTTCTATCATTCGTTTTTATTTTGCTGAACATTATCTTTCTACTTGGACACAGAACGTGAAATTACGGAACCCGAGAACGAAAATGGTTTCATGTAGTCCGATAATGAGATCGTTTTGGACAATATCAACATTGTGGATAACGACATTTTGGGAGGAGATGGAGAGATTGTGCTGGAGGTGGGTATGACGTTTAAAGATGAAACGAAGTTGTTTGATTTCTACAAGCAATATGCCTATGCAGTTGGTTTTTCAGTCAGAAAAAGAAATTCAAAAAAGGGGAATGACGGAGTTGTTAGATTTGTGACATTTACATGTAGTCGTGAATGCCGAAGGTCTAGTAATACAAATAGTGCTTTGAGGCCGCAACCAACGAGTCAGACACATTGTAAAGCACGGATATCTGCATCTACATACAGTCATGGCACATGGAGAATTAACACCGTCAACCTCCAGCACAACCATAAGACAAGTCCTTTGAAGTCTAGGTTGTTTTGGTGCAATTTGGAATTAAGTGCAAATGTAAAACGAAAGCTTGAATTGAATGACATAGCGAAAATTCTACTGCACAAAAGTTTCAACTTTGTAGTTGTGGAGGTAGGTGGGTATGAGAATATGACTCGCGTTGAAAAAGATTGCCGAAATTATATTGAACAAGTCAGACAGTTACGACTTGGAGAGGGAGATGCAGCAGCATTACAATCTTACTTTTCACATATCCAAGCACGGTGTTCAGGGTTTTACTTCGCTATGTATTTGGATGACGAGTCTCGGCTTAGGACTGTATTTTGGGCAGATAATAGATGTAGGCAAGCTTACAAGGAGTTTGGCAATGTTGTAACATTTGATACCACTTATTTGACGAATAAGTATGACATGCCTTTTGCACCTTTTGTTGGTGTGAATCATCACGGACAATCAACACTGCTTGGTTGTGGCTTGTTATCAAATGAGAATACAAGTTCGTTTGTCTGGCTGTTTAGGACGTGGCTTTAGTGCATGCATGATCAATCTCTATGTGGAATAATTACCGAACAAGACAGAGCCATGCATAATGCAATTGAGATTGTATTTTCGAATACTAGTCATAAATGGTGTTTGTGGCACATTATGAAAAAATTGCCAGAGAAGTTTGGGTACCACATTGATAAAAGTTTGATATTCTCAACTATACATGGTTTGGTATACGACTCGCAAGCTGTTGATGAATTTGAAAAAGGTTGGAGAGCCATGATCGATGAGTTTGACTTGCATAACAATGATTGGTTGTCTGGATTATATGAAAATCGAGGTCGTTGGGTGCCTTGCTTTTTGAAAATAATTTTCTGGGTTGGGGTGTCTACAACACAATAAAGTGAAAGTATGAATGCATTTTTTGATGGATACGTCCATTCGAAGACCTCTTTGAAGCAGTTCGTTGAACAGTACGAATGAGCACTAAGGAATAAGGTTGAAAAAAAGTTCCAAGCTGATTTCAAATCATACTCGTAGATGGTCCCGTGTGCAACAAGTTTTGCGATGGAAATACAATTTCAATTAGTATACACAATTTCAAAGTTCGAGGAAGTTCAGGATGAATTTGTAGGAAAGATTTATTGTGATGTCGCTTCAGAAGTAGAGGGACTGGACAGGGTGAAGTACGAGGTTTGAGAGTCTGTAGTATACCCCGAGGGTACGAAGAAGAAAACATTTCTCGTCTCATTTCGGAGGGACACTAGTGAAGTGATATGTAGTTGCCACTTGTTTGAGTTTCGAGGAATTATTTATAGGCATGCAATCACAGTGTTCGATCGTAATGACTTCACAAGAATGCCAGAGAAGTATATATTGCGACGGTGGAGGAAAGATGCCAGTAGGGCACACACGAGGATTGCAGTGAATTATGTCGGGTTGGTTAGTATGCCTAAACAATTAAGATATGATGATATGTGTCAAGCATTTTGGAGGTGGCAGACCTCGCTGCGAGTGACGAAGGGCAAGCACGGGAGATAATGGATTGGATAAAATGCCAAGCTATAGAGTTGAGGACTTCACGGTCGAGTGGTGGTAGTAATGTCCTTCCTCGGCAAAATTTTCAGGGTACCACACAGTGTACTGGATCGCAGCATACAGCTGGCATGAGTGTGTTGAATCCAAAATTGTCGAACAGAAAGGGTGAGCCTAGGAAGCTCAGGAAAAAAGGCCCGTCGGAGTCGACTTCGAAGAAAGTAACGATATTTTTCCCTATTAATCTCTTCAAGTACATATGAACTTCACCACAAAATTTGAAATTTGTCCAGGTATGTGCAGGCAAGTTCGAAGTCAGACAAAGGAAAGAGACTGAGAGATAGGCCCACTGATATAGAAAAGGCTGCAACTATCGTCCAGCCATCTCAACAACTTCAACATTCTCAGCCAACACCATTCTCATACTCACAGCTTTTGTTGGTCATTAAGCATAATTTATTTTCATAGTTTCTATTTCATAGCTCTAATTATGTTGGTATTGGACATAGGGTGACTTCGAAAGTCAAGTGTGTACGCAACCTTCATTGTCGTTTCCTAATGTTGTATTCAATTCACAAGGTGAACACATATTGACATAATCAAAATTGACAGTCGATTTTTTTCTCTTCTTTCATGTGTTTGCTAACCCAAATTTTCATTCAAGTGCGTACTTTGTTAACCCGCATCTACTGCATCCAGAAGCTGCAGTGATTGGGACGAGCCAAATGGCGTACAATTTTCTTCAGGTTCATTTTAAGTAAATCTGGATGTTAGACCATAATGTTGTTAGACCCAATTTAGCGTCTCATGTGTGATGTTATTTTTTCCCTTCTTTCAGGTACAAAGTGCATATTCTTTTTCAAGAGCAACGCACTTGGCAAATTTGTCCAGCGTTATCCCAATTACTCATCTACCAACGTTGGTTCATAACGATGCTGGAATCTCAGATGACAAGTGAAGTTGGAGATGCTAAATTGGGTCACAATTTGTTTCAACATTCGCAGCCAACACTGTATTTTTGCATGATTTTTCCATTGTAATATTGAGGTTGTTTGTGTGTTTTGTACATGTTCCATGTGTACCAGATTTTTTGAGGTTTTGGGATCTAATTGTTTCATGGAAAATCTTGAGTTTTTGGAGAAACTCTATCTACTATGAGATTTGCATCTCTAAACAATGTTAATCTTGATGCTTATGGTTTTGAGTTATAAAGCTCTATATTTTTATTTTCTTACCCAAAAGAAGGGGCTGAAATCAATAACATTCTGAATGCTAATTTGGTTATCTGATAAGTGTATTTTATACACTTATTTCATTCATTAAACTAGAGCATTTTTTTTATTTTGGATTAATTGATGCTTAACTTCATACATATTTTCGTTTGTTAGGTGTAACTCAAAGCAAAACAATGAAATTGGACAGAAGAGCAGGAAATTTGCTAACTTGAGCCTAATTAAAAGTTTTGGGACTAAATTGCAAAGTATCAAAAGTTGAAGTATCAAAAGTTGATTTGGACATGATGTTAATGATTGAAGAAGAGCAAGAGGTAATTAAATAATGTTAGAAGATGAATGATCGAGAAGATGTCAGATATGGGCCAAAAGGAACGAAAAATTAAGTATAGGGACCAAAGTGCAACACATGGAAAAATGTCATAACAGCGTGCGCACAGGCCAAAACTCTCGCGCTATCAAGGGGTTGAATTTCATAAGCAGAACGTAGAACCAATAGGCGACGCGTGCGCAAGGAAATATACCTCGCGCGTGGGCATTTGTTGGATAAAAAATTGTGCAGATTCCTTTTTTGACACAAACCCTTATGGAAACAAAATCTATCATATTATTTAACCTAGGGCGACGACCAGAACACCTGCTTCCTCTTCTGGACGACAAAAAGAGGCTTGGAAAGAGAGAAAATCAAAGAGGCAAAAATCAACAAGAAATTGCAAGAAGATTGACAACAACTGGGGGAAAAATTCACGCGACACAACTAGTTTTTTCTCTTATTCCCTACTTCTTCTCCATGTTCTTTATTGTGTATTTCATTATGTCAATCAATTCAATTATGAACTAAACTTTGAGATCTAGTGGCTTGACGTAACCTATTTGAGACATGTTTTGATTTCAATACAGTTATTTCCTTTGATTTTTCTGAAATTTATTTATGTTGTTCTTGTTTAATGCTTTTAATTGTCTGATCAACAATTGAATGACTTAATGCTTTAAGTTTGCTGCTCGAGAGAGGGAAATTTAGGCGTGATTTAAAAAATGACATAACCTATAATTCGTAGGTTTCGAGAGGAAGTATGAATCTTTGAGGCCAATTCATTTCAAGAATCAGATGTTTGATAATTTCTATATGTTTAATTTAGAATAGAAATATTGGGGTTAAAATATAGATATAAATTCTCTTTGGCGCTCGAGAGAGGGGATAAAATTAATTTAGGATTCTTCCCTATAAATTCGAAAAGGAATTGATGGAAATAACTATAAAGGTTGAAAAATATCGTCGAGAATGTGGTGAAATCATTCTTTAGGGATTCATACATTTGATCAAATTTTTTAGGAATTGCTTCACTTTACTTGTACTCTTTAATCCAAAGATTTTAGTTTAATATAAAATCATCCATTTAACATTTGATTGTCTAAATAAAGTGAAAAGTCAAAATCATTATAGTACTTCGTAGGATTCAATTATTAATCCCTGTGGGTTTGACACTTTTATTTTATCAATATACTACAAAACTTGACACCGTACACTTGCGATAAAATCACGTTACATAAAACGCGTGGCAATATCCTACTTCGTAATACAACATGTAACATAGGTTATTCTACATGTACCAGTAACATCAGTCTTATTCCTATTATATTTTTTTTCTATTGATTTTCTAATTCTTTGGTTCATAAATCTCTTACCTCCTTTTGATCCTTATTAATTTGTCTGTGAAGGGAATGTACTTATTGTTTATGTCTGCACCTATTCCTACTTTGAAGCCTGCTGAATGTGTCGATTCTTTGAGGTTTTGAGGTTTCAAGTGTACCAGATTTTTTGAGGATTTGGAATCTAAATGTTTCATGTGAAATCTTGAGTTTTTGGAGAAACTGTGGCCATGATTTCTAGACATAAGATTAAGATTGTCTCTTTTTTATAAATGTTTCATGTCTCAAAGAGTTGCAACTGGTCTTGTCCTCGGTTCATGCATATTGATTGATATGGCAACAAGAACTATTTCTACCGAACATTAAGTCAAACATCTAATTACAAAACCATAATTTACATACGTTTTTCGATAGCAAACACCAAGCAAAAACATGTTTGAAAAATATCAGTTTTGCCTATCACCTATGAAGCGCGGCCCTTCCCTTCTTCATTCTCATTCACCTCGGCACTTTTCTAGCTAGATTGTTGAACATGGTCAGCAAATCTTCAGCTTCCTGGATGACTTCGGGATTCACTGCTTCATTAGTCGTGCTAGATTCACCGCTTGATTTTTCATTTACGAACCAATCAAAATACCCACAGTTAACACTACATGTTTTGAATAATCACCATTTGTTCTTTGTCTCCCTTTCAACTTCAAAACATTTTTGCAGTCCGTGTGTACACCATGAGCATCGTTGTTTTATCAGACAATTCAGGAAGAAGTGGTCCGTACTTCTATAGCCGTGACAGACACCAACATTCCTCCCCCTCATCTTGGAAGAAAAACAACAATGAATTTGGTAGCGTGAGAAATACACCAAAATTCAAAGGTCCCTTTGTTCTTTCAACTTGGCAAATTATCAAAATAACCACCAACCCCACTTAGAAAAATTTTCCAAATTCTATAGTGCTGCAACAAAAACTGGAATTTTTCTTTACAGAAAAGCTTCAACCCCTTACTCTAATACAAATTAAAAGGTCCACAGAATTCCCAGTTCATAGGAATTGAAAGATACTTTGGTTTGATTGATCAACAATTTAACATAACGGATAAAGTTCATAAGATTTAGGTATATTGCTTAACATAACAGAAAGAAGATTTCTTTGATTTTAAATTTCTTTGATTTTGGAAATAACATCACTATTTTCATGTTATGATTTCTTTCTTTAAATCAATAACAACAATTCTAGGCATGGCAGGATCAATTTTTCTTACACATTTATCTAATTCTCAAGAACACAGTAATATGAATTCATAACCATCCCAACTAGTGCAACCATATTCCAAAAATGTTCGAAATGGATCACAGAGTAAGACATAGCCGAATGCTGCACAAATTCTAAAGTTTCCAGAAATCGAACTTTGCAAATCGAATTTTTGCCCAACGTTCATAATCAGTCTTCCATTCACACCAGCATATTCCCAAAATTATCAAACAACACCAGCTTCTGGAAACAACTAAAATACGAAATGAAATTCGACTTACCTGAAGGTAAAAGATATCAGATACTGGGTGGACACTACTCCACAGACTGAAAATGGGGAAGAGATGGTTACGATGTTCCGATTCCACGAAAAGGGGAAGCAAGACAGGCTGTCGAATGTGGATTTTGCTAAATTGGGTTTCGTCGATCGGGCTGCCGAAGGTGGTCTTCACAGAGGCAACTCGTCGATCGGTCGGTCGGAGGTGGATTTCGGCCAGGCAAAGGTGGAAGTGATTTTTAGGGTTCTAAATGGTGAGAATTTTGGTTTCCTTTATTGTTGTTTCCTTTCGTTATTAGAGAAAATTTGTTCTTCAAGCAAATGATACGTCATTCTGTGAAGGCTTTGTGAAATAACCATTCTATATGTCTAGCACACCCCGAGGGCTACTACATTTAGAGGGTCTATTTTACAGACCCTAACCAGATCTCTCACAAGTCGCGGGTCCCGACTTTTTTATTTCATGTGGGACCAATCCCTATAATGAGGGATTGATAAGACTCCGGTAAGTAATTGCTTTGTACACAGAGCAATTTCCTTGTACAAAACTTCAGTACTACCCAAATCCCACTACATCACATATAAATACGCCATGAAGAAATAATATACATTTATACAGAGGAAAAAAAGTTGAGGATAAAATGTTGAAAATCGGACCGAGAGAGAAGAAGTGGCAACTGAGGTAGAATTGACCACAATTTAACAGGCAAAACGCACACCACAAGCAAAGATTATGACCTGCGCAGCAATTTCGATGATTGAGGTATAGCGATCGATGAATAGTAAAGAATGTGCCATGAGGTTTCAAGTGAGAGAGTGATAAGGAATTTTGTGTTGGGGAAGTAAGTCAGGATTTATTTTAATATTTTGGTTTACATGGGTAGGGTACGAAAAATGGTCCAGGGGGTTAATTATTTCATGGGTAAATTATTTTTTCAGACTAGCTACAAACAGGGAGTTCGGGTCGGGTCCGGTTAGCCATGACCCCTTCTCACCAAAAAAGAACACAACTAAAAATGATACATAAAAAGTAAAAATCAGTCTTTACAAAAGTAGCATATATTACGGTTTGACATATTTACATTTTTGGAAAAAGTAAGGTAGGTTATGTGTAAAGTTTTTACTGGTCAACACAATTTGAAGTTGTGTAAAAAAATTCTCTACTGTGGAATTGGAAATTGATAATAAGGGCATTTTTTTATCATTTTTGTAAAATGGACATTTTTACATATGACTATGTGAAAGTGGACATTTCTTGTAATTTCCCCTAAATTTTTATCCAATTCTATGGGACTTACAATTTTTGAATCATACATTTTTAGGGTATGCTTGGTAGTTTTTTTCACCGATTTTGGTCGACAACGAATGGCACCGTTTATGAGGGATTGAGAAAAACAATGTTTGCTATTTTTTGGGGTATCAGTTTTGGATGATTTAAAAATCACTCAAGTTTAATTTTGACTCTCTCTACCCTCTCAATCGACAAGTTTTGTCCATTTCTCATATTCTTTTTTAATCTTACCCTTTATAAAATAATTGTTTTTAATCAACATATCGTACAAGAAATTATAAATTGAAAATTTAACTAAAGTAAATATATTTAATTTTATTCTTTAAAAAACAAAATCAAATAGATAAACTCAATAACATGAATAATGGATTAGATTATTTTGAAAATTGCTATTAAAATCACTCAAAATCGAGTCATTCATAAACGCTCAAGATCGATACTTTCAAAAAGGCCCATAATGGGTACCCCAAAACTCCTAAGCAGACCCTTAGATGAAAACCTTCATCAGGCCCTTAGATGAAAACTTTCATCATGAACAAAATATCAAAGAAAATAATAATAAATAAATAAAATTGAAGATAAGAATTAGACAAAAAAAGTTAGTAAAATAATTGCAACAAAGAGCACTGGTTCCTCGCTAACTGCAATTTAAATTCGGTTCAGCAAACAAAAACTGTAGAATGACTATAAGAGTATGTTTGATTGACATAGAAAATATTACCTAGAAAAGAAAATATTTTCCATCTTTTGTGGAAAATAAAAACCACCTCTACCCAAGAAAAATATTTTCCTTAAAAACAACGAAAATTAGGCATATTTTCAAAAGTTGGAAAATGTTTTCCATGGAAAAAAATAGCAATCAAACACTCTAAGTGAAAATTTGGATGGAAAACTAATATTTTCCATGGAAAATAAATGTAATCAAACACACCCTAATTGTCATTGTCAGTATATCAAAATCAGAAAGAACCACTTTGCCCACATCGTTTGCAGCTAATGACATCCATGTTGCATTAAAATTGTATTTGAACATTCGCTTAATCAGGCAAACAGAACAAGGTCTTAGCTGTTTGCATAACTAACCGTTTGAAGATAAAGAGAGTATATTTGGAAGAAGTTTCCTAGTCAAAGAAAATAATAATGCAGACACTAGAGCATTGATCTCACAACCTAGATATCTGAAGCGGAACTGGGACTTCAACAATTTCATCTCTCAATGCCACAACTGGAATCCTTTCCATGCATCCAAGTCTCTGCATAAGATGCTTTTGACAATTTTCTGCTGCCATAACTCCAGCTGAGTAGGCACCATGTACAGAACCTTGATGATCTAAGCTCATAGCTTCACCTCCAAAGAAAAGATTGCCAAAAGGTTCTCGAAGCCGATCATATATGTCGTCTGAATTCCCGACTGCATCATAGGAATAACACCCAAGGATGTTGGGATCTGATCCCCAACATGACACGAGATACTGAGCCTGTCATGGACCATTCAAAAGCTGTGTTAATAACATCATTTGTTCTGGTTATGTTAGGACACATATAAGCATTTCCAACAACTTGCATCAAATTCAAATAGAGCCATGGTAATAGTATTATGTTTCCTCGAGTATGGAATAAATTATAAATCAGTCCAACCATCCAGGAAAACAGAAAAAAAAATATAGCTAGTGCAATAGTATTAATGTAAAGAAGACAGCAAATAATTTTTCCCAAGAAAAAACAACCCTAGTAATACTCTCGTCCATGCATTCTTAACTGAGAAAGTTTTAATGGGATCAATAGTGCAGTGCGATTGTATATATTTTTACCTTTCCCTCCATCTCTTAGCTGATTAGTCACTAAAAATCTTTTGGTTGAACGATTTTCCCGTTCAGGATTGCTTGTAGGAATAAAGTTATACAAATACGATAAGAGAATTATACAAATATGGTAAGAAAATTATACAAATCGATCTCATTGACATCTCCTCTCAAATTGATGCTCGACGATCAAGAAGCATCAATTAACTGACCAGAAATTGATGTTATCATCTCGTCATCGTCTTAGTAAACACATCGACAGTCTAAACATCAGTAGAATATCAGTGGTGACATGTGGAAGAGAAATAATGCAACTGCCATAAGCCTCTTGTATGAAATGACAATCCACTTCAATGTACTTAGTCCGTCAATGAAACATAGGATTAGCAGTAATTTGAATGGCACTAGTGTTGTTAGCATGAAGTCGAGTAGGCTCAAGATGAGGGAAAACCAAGCTCCATTAAACGACCTCGAAATCAGACAATCTCAGAGCAAGTAGATGACATAGCCTGATACTCAAATTCAATAGAAGATTTAGAAACGCATTCATGCTTCTTATTTCGCTATAAAATAAGGCAATCCCAAGAAACATACACCAACCCATAATCAAGCGATTAATGTCTATACATCCAACCCAATTAGCATCACTATAACCTATTAACTTCAGAGACATGTTGGTTGGACAGAAATGACCCATGTCAGGCGTACCAATTAAATATCTAATAATACGATAAATCGCGATCAAGTGAAGATGTCATGGAGCATGCATAAATTAACGGACTTGCCAGACAGCAAAAGAAATATCGGGTCGTATAATAGTAAGGTAGTTCAAACTGCCTACTAGCTGAGGGTATAAAGAGGATAAAAAAAGATCAACTTCTTCCTTGCGATACTTCACATTCACCTCTAAAAGAATGTCATCAGATTGACCATCTCAAAATCCAGCCAATTTAATCAACTCCTCTGTATACTTGTATTAATGTAGGCAAGTCCCGATCAGAGTTGAAAGCGCACCTCAAGATCTCCTTCATATGAAATGATTACTAAGTCAGCTTTGAAAATGATCAATCCTCAATCAGTCCTAGTAATAACTACATCATCCACATAGATAAGAAGAAGCACAATACCTGCCTTGCTATCAAAGTTAAAGAGCGATGAGTCATACCGGCTTTGAGTAAATGATAACCCAAGAGAGTGGAACGAAACTTGTCAAATCAAGCACGAGAAGCTTGTTTTAACCCATAAAGTGATCGCTTTAGCTTTCACACATTGAGGGAGGGTCTGAAGAAGAAGCCTGCTAAGAGTGACATAAATCTTTTCCTGAAGATCATCATGCAAGAAAGCATTCTTGGCATCCATCTACCGTAAAAACCAACCCTTGGAGGCAACTATAACAAGAACGATACGAACCGTTGTCATTTTGGCAACAGGAGCAAAAATCTCCTCATAATCCACTCCATATTCTTGACGATTATTAGCAGCCACCCACCAAGCTTTATTTCGATCTAGAGAACCATCAGAGTGTAGCTTAATGGAGTAGACTCAATAGGTTTGATGAGGGCAAGGAACAATATCACGTGTTATTCTCCTGAAGAATTAGGAGAAACCATACCGATCAAGAGGTTGAGTGGTGCGAGTAGATCGCCTAAGATTAGTAGAGCCTGGAGAGGGATCAGGGTCTAGAAAGGCGTGGAAATGGAAGCTATCGTCTTTGATATACCAAGCCTAGCTTAAAACTTTCGATGGGATGAAAGTCATCCTCAAAGTTACCAAGTAGAGCCAAAGCAGAAGAGGACATGACATGCTGCGGAAGTAATATTGATTCTCAAATAAAACCACATTGCGAGATATAGGAAAGCGATTAGCAACACCATCATAATAGATGAAACCCTTCTGAGCAATACTGTAACCAATAAAAGAACGTCTTACAAATTGAGCAACAAGTTTATTACACTCATGAGGAGGCAGATGAACAAAACAAGCACACGCAAAAGTACGTAACATGTCATAATTAGAGTGTATCGTACAGATGAAAATAAGGCAAGTCAAAATCCAAATGCTAAGTAGGAAGTCAATTAATTAGGTATACGGCTGAGGATAGAGCTTCGACCCAAATTCTAGGCGAAACTGAGGATTCCAACAACAAAACTCGAGCAATATCCAACTAGTGGCGATTCTTTCTTTCGGCTACCTCATTCTACTATGGAATATATAGACAACATTGAGAGATAATACGATAATACCCTTTTATTGCAAGAAGGTATGACAATCATAAGGCATGTTCTCCCCTATTGTCGGACCTTAGAGTCTGAATGTCTAAAAAGTGTGTCTCAATGTAAGCTACAAAAGACCTAATAGTGGTATTGACATCACTTTTAGAACAAATAAAATATATCCAAGTATAACGACTAAAATCCCTAATAAATCTCACAAAAGATGTTGAGCATGAGAAGTGACGAATGTTATGTCCCAAACGTCACTGGGAATAGTTCTAAAGCATTTATCAACACGATTGTCATGAGTGAAAAACGGAAGCCTTACTTTCTCGAAGTTTTACAAGTAACACAATTAAAATTAAAATTTAAGAACTGAAACTTATTTTTATTACCAAGAAAATCACATTTCAACAAATGAGACAAAATTATATTGTTTGGATGCCCTAATCTTTTATGTCAAATTTCATGCTTAAGTCCAACACTAATGCAAGCCAAAGACATAGCATTAGGAATAGTAAACTGTAATAGAAATGATATTCCAACTTTAGGCTCCTTTGCGATACCTTCCCCAACCCCTGATCCTGCACAAGGCAACCAACGCATAAGAACATACATCACATTTATTATCAACTAATTGACCAATCGAAACCAAGTTTGTAGATAAGTTCGAAGATAGAAAAGACATTATCAAAAGAAGACCAAGATCACCAACTGTAGTAATAGGAAGCGTACTACCATTAGCGATTCGAATATGTTGTAAGCTAGTATAACGTCGAATGTTATTCAAGGAATCAGAACTACCTATCATATGATTTGATGTCCATGAATCAACAAACCAATGAGAAGAAATAGCTGAACCCTTACCTTGTAACCCCGAGGCATAGAAGGCAGAAACATCATCTACTGGACCATTTCTGGGGTAAGTACTGTTGATTGGTACTAACCTGTGAAGGTGCTGGAGTAATACTTTGAATATAGACCTAAAATGCTTAGCTTCCCAATATGGAGATAGTGTGGGACAATCCCTAATGATATGCCCTGCTTGCTAACAATAATTGAAGACTATTTAAGGACAATTAGGAGGAGCAATATGATCGTATCCTTGGAAGCGAAAACACTGAAGTTTACCCTTCTGCTCCAATATTAGCCTAAATAGCCAATCATTGCTCTTTATTCAAAAGCTCACCCAGACACATATCCAATGAAGGAATTGGATCACGATTCAATAAACCCACTCGAACCACTTCAAATTTGGGTCGTAGTTTCATCATTAACTAATCCCGCTTATTAACTTCTTGAACATCTTATAGTATCTTAAGGCCATCGCAGGAACCTTAGCGTGAATTATGCCGAAGTACTTGCTCTAAGTTTAAAAAGCAAGAATAATATTGCTCAATAGTGAGATAACCTTGAGTGTAGTTCGCAATCTTCAACGCTAGCTAAAATCTTTGAGCATTATTGTCTTGATAATAAATGCACTTTAAATACTCCTACATCTTCTTAGCAGTAGTGAAAGAGCGTAATTTATTCACCATGTATACCTCCATATACCCCAAAATCCAGGAAATAATACAAGCATCATTTGTTTCCCAAGCACTGAGATCCTTAGCATCTTCAGGTGATTTAGAGGACCCCATAAATATGACTCCAAAGCTCCTATTCTTTTAAGAACATCTTGAATTTAAATTTCCATATAGAATAATTCCTTTCCATGAACTTAACACAAAAGGCCTCGACCAACATGGCTTCTTAATGTAGGGCATCAATATGACTCCAAAGCTCCTTCTCTTTTAAGAACATCTTGAATTGAAAATTCCATATAGAATAATTAGTTTCCGTGAACTTAACACAAAAGGCCTCGACTGACATGGCTTCTTAATGTAGGAAAATGACAAAATATTGTAACCTCAGTCCAAAAAATACCCAAACAAATTTTTACCCAAAATCACCATAATTGAAGCCCGCTTCAAACAATAGGCCCACTTAAATTAATAAGCATAGCCCACTTCAAGAGGCAATGAGCCCACAGCCTCATACACCTTACATCGATCACTAAGCCGCATCCCACAAAGGTCGCGTCAATCGCCGAAGGCACGAAACGGGAGCCGCCGCTGATCGTCACACACAGAGACAGATGTTAATAATTGGACAGATTCTCCCACGCTAATTGCACACACAGCAACGCGACACACATAAACGTCGAAGAATCTCAAATTCAACTCCAACCACCCACTATTCCACAACCCAAGATGCCGCACAACACAACTCGGTGACCAACAGAAGTAACCCAAGACTCACCAACCTCAGAGGTGGGCTCTGATATCATAACAATCTTTTGGCTGAATGATTTTCCTCTTCGAGATTACTTGTATTATATAGGAATAGAGTTATACAAATATGGAAAGAGAAATATAGTAAATATAAATACAGTATTAGAATGGTAAATAATCTCCGTCAATCTCATTGACAATCACTACATACGTAACCCATAACAAATATGTTAAAAGAAGGCTTGTAAAACCATATTTCAACGGTCAATATGCCACTTACGGTATCAAAATTAGACTTTCTCTTAGACTATTATAGGAAATTGGATAAGTGATAAAGTATTTTGTGTGTTTGTATACACTAGCTTAAAAGAGCAGCCGTGTTGTACTAGTAATCTTTATACTGGCTTCTGTGTTACATATTTTTATCAGAGTGATTTTGAAGAAACGGAAGAAGTTATTGCAAGACGTCGGAAAACTAAACTGATATGAAGAAAAATTAGTCATGAACTTACAGGCTCCGATGCATCAGGAAACATTCTCTTCAGCTGTAACATTACAAAATTTGCAGCAGCTTCATCTGATAGCTTCTCCAGGTCATATGCAAGGGCTCCTGCTGCCATATAGACAAGAACGGGATGACCTGTGGCCTTGTGGAGATTGAGAAAATAACCACAGTAATAAGAGGTGGGTGCAACTACACCCAAATATTCTACATTTGGCCAGAAAACATTGTCAAATCGTAATGCAATCTTGTTCTCATTGCCCACACCAAGATCTGATATTGCAGAAAGCTTCCATTGAGGCAGCTTAGGCTCAAACTCAATTAAGTGGCCTTTTAGAACCCCTAGAGGCACAGTAATAATTGCAGCATCAGCAACGAAGTTCCTCCCATCCTCAACCTCAACAACCACTCTCTTATATCCATTGACAATCCTTTTAACCCTAACAATGGGAAATTTATCTTCAGTAAGAATTAGGGCAAAACAAGCATGAAGGGGAACAACGGAACGTAATTGAGAAGAAGTCAACTGATGGAAACAGATGCATTTATTTTCGATACTTCTGTCTTTCGTTTCTTTTCTCTTTCTGTCCCAAAAATTGTGAAGAAAATACAAAATAGCAATAGGTAGTAGTACAAGATTTTCCTTGCCGTTCACACCAAAATTTCTATGTTCATCATAATTTTGTTAAAATTGTACTATTAACGTCTGAGATTCAGGCTCAATTGAATAGTTTTAGATGATTATTAAATCCATGAATATGAAATTTAATTGGCATTGGGATCTCAAAAAAATAGGTGTCACTAACATGCAGAACATTTTCAAGACGGAAGAAAATTATATAATTTCGGTAATATAGAAAATTCATAAGCATACCGGTGATTTAAGCGGATGTCGAGGTCTTTTGACAAGAACTTTATCACAGGGTCATAACCTTGCACCATCAATCCATGACCACCAGAAAGAACTTTCTCCTGAAAATAAAGTTTAGAAAAAATCAAATAAATAATTATCCAAGTAAATTGATAATCTTCGCTTTTCCCACACGGATGAATCCATCACAATCTAAGAACAATGCTATGTTGTGGACATTGAATAGAGAGTTCAATCAAAATGTCTACAAGTGGTATCCATAAAATGTGAAAAAATAAACTTAATATGCCAAAAGCATATTTCAATATGCATAAAATGCAGAAAATATGTATAAAATGCAGAAAATATGTAAACAGCCAACAAACAACTATGCATCATATGTAGTATGTACATAAACGGCTTGGCTTTGATGGTTACCTCAAATTTTTACACATTTACGTAAAATCATAAGCATACTGCCAAAAAGCATATTCCGAAATTAAAAATGAGGAGAAACTAATAGAATATCTTTGAAGAAACATTTTGAAAGGAAAACACGTGCAGCGAAAAAGTTCAGCAACTATATACCACGAGATCATAGGTACTAAGAATATACAGAAGCCAAGTAATAGTTAAGAGAAAGAAATGAAATTAAACTAATTGATATTAACTTACCTGATCCCAGGCTTTCAGAGATATCATGTCTGCATCTGCAGCAAACCATGCCTCCATTCTACAGATGTACCACTGCAGTACTTCATACGCAAGTCCTCCTTGTCTGAGGACACAAATGTTATAGGTGTAAACAATAGAATTCCATGTTTTAAAGAACATCATAAAAGTGAACTTCAGACAAATTCATTTGTTTCTGGTACCTCAATTCCGGATGCCTCTCCAGCACAATCGATATCGCTTGCCTCACGGACATGTCGTCACTATGTTCATTCCTCACTTTATCAGTCTAGAATTAGACAATGTCAGTCAGCATCCTTTTTTGCGCATAGAGAAAAACAATGCAAATAAAAATTTAAGAAGTTATCAACCTACCTCCTTGAGGATCTTCTTAAATGTATCTTGAACTTTAATAACCATGCTTTGTGGAACTTGATGTCCATTTATGTTGAAGAGTGCATAACTGAAATGAACAAAACCAAAATCCATTTATGGAGGTGTCGAATGATTTGCAATCAAGAAATAACAATTTTATATGAGCAAATAAAACAGGATGGATAACCTCTCTACTAACCTAAAATAGATGTAGGCAAAAGTTTTCACTGTCTCCTTTCTTAAAAGTTTATCAACCATATTAAACAAAAAGTAGACATTGCCCATTTCAGAATAAAAAAGTAAAGCATGTTAGATCAGAAGCTGGTTTCTTAAGACACCTAATCAGATGCTGGTTTCTTAAGACACCTAACCTCTTCCAACATTAGAACGTGCTAGTCCAAGACTGTTCCCGGGGAAAATAAGTGAAGTATGAAATATGGCTTGAATCAAAAACTTAAAAATCTTCGGAAAATTATTATAAATTAAGATATAGGGAAGACCTCACGATATTCAAAGTGTATCACAAATCTAGAATGGCTTTGTACTTTTTTTAAAAAAAAAAAATGGCAAGAAAGAAAGAAATCCATTTACAGTAAGCATTTAACAAAGTTGACTAATATTCCACTAAACATATCATTTTCCATTGTAACAAAAGACCAATATATTACCTTTCCAAATCATGGTCATATAAAACTGAGTCCTCACCACTTGTACGATATAATGTAAGCCCCAAGCGGCTTATAACTTGAGACAACGGATTCTCATTGCAGACACCATGTAGCCTGAGTATTATTCATGAGAAGTCAATTATGGGTGGGTAAGAAAGATACTGGTAGCTTATTGCCAAGCTTCAATACTACAAAAGAATGTTCTGTAAGTACAAAACAAAATGAATTACAGCCAGCAATGCAAAAAACAGCTCTGTTTAGTATTCAACAGTGAAGAATTGGAACAGTTACTGTCCTTTCTATCTTCCAGCAATGCAGAGCGAAAAAGTGACTGTACCAATGGAAAAATAATTTAGTGCCACATGATGTAATTTGAGTAATGTGTTTGTATTTTCTGAAGTCCTTTTAGCTAATCAGCGGTGGTGTGAAGCACTTGTATTTCACTTTCTGAAGTGCAGCTCTTGGTTATTAAATATATAACTGTAGGCATAGCCTGCAATTTGGGAAAAAACCATACTCCCCAATTATAAGAGCTCCTAAAGTATCTATTAAAATTTCGGTCTGATGATGAGAACTATCTTCCTGTCAAATTCTTGGGAAGATCTGATAGGCCATTAGCCTCCATTGTGTCAAGGGAAATTGAGGGGAAAGAAAAATTCTAGGGAAAATCAGGAAAAACATGGAAATATTTGTTTTAAAACTTGCAATTTTTTCGTGGAACTTCTTCCACATTTACCTTTTTCTCCGTTGTCATTTGGAATAATAGGGCCTCAATATAGATCAAGCTCAGCCCCTGTTTGATCCTCATTATCTAAAAATTCATCTTTCCCAAACTCATTATCAACCCCACATTCTCCCAATAAAATAATTTTGCACATAACCCAAAACATTTTCATACTTCTTAACCACATATTCTCCAAAAAATAACTATTTCATAACCCTTTTCTCCAACAAAATGGGGCTCAAACAGGGCCTTAGTAAGCAACAATATAAGATAATCACAAAATATCTTGCTCAGTATGAATAGATTATCTTGAAAAATCATAATATGACTTACCATGATGCTCCCATGTCAACTGGGCAACCAAATGAGTAATCAGTGCAAATACGCCCGCCAATTCTATCTTGCGACTCCAACAAGATTACCTGGATAAAAGAGAAGATTTGTCAGAAGGGAAAGAAATGAAAAGGTGATCACTCATAAATTATTTATCGGAGAGTATAACCACCTTAAAAGAGGCATTTTGAAGCATACGCGCAGCAGAAATCCCTGATATACCGCCACCAATAACAATGACAGAAGGCAATGCACCGTGTTGCTTTCCGACATTGGGGGTATAAATGCCTAGTAAGAAGACAAAAATGAACCAGATCGAAAATGAATCTCTGTTGATCTTAAATGAAATAAGCAAAACAAAAGAAAAGAAATAAAAGGAAAATATGGAAACTGAATTTGGTCAATCACACTTGAAAAATGGAAAGATTGAAAGAGAATGTGAGAGAAAATCACTGGCAAATGAACTCTCAAACACAGCTCTAGAATTAATTTGAACTCATTGAGTCCTAGATTTAGCCATAATTAATTCAAATATGAATGTGAGAGAGTATGGAACAGTGCATTTTGTTTATATTAGATGAAACAAGGAGTAGACATATCCCACCTCATATCAAATGTTGAAAGACTATTTCTTTGGATTTTTTCCATATTCCATCAAGAAGTTGTCAGGGTCCAGCAACACTATTTATGAGAGGAAGACGTTTTATTATTCTATAAAAAGAAAGCAATAAGATGTGATTTTTAGTGCACTAATTCATCTTATGTACTGGTCATGCCGAATTTGTCAAGTTTTACATACCAGAGTGCCAGAATTTTTAAATCCTAGGACAATGCATTGAACATGAAATTCTATTTTCATACTGGAAATTTAAGATACATTTTCCAACAATGGCTAGAAAATTTTGTATTACCAGAACTTTTATTGGTGTACCGTGGAGGAGTTTTTTAACAAATTCATAAGTGGCCCAGTTTGGCTCTCCTGCCCCAGGTACTTTGACTTATTGTTAACTAAGCTTTTTACTTGAGCTCAACGTTCATGATATGCATATAATTAATTCGTCTCTATTAGATTTTAAACAACAAGTGCATGCACTGTGAGAATTGAACATTCCAAGGCTTTGTTTGATAATCATTCTACCACATTCTACTACGTTACTTTTTTCTATGGTACTCATTTTCAACTACACATTTTTCATTCAAATAATATTACACGTAAATAAAAAACTTCTAATTCTTTTTTAACCACACATTCTTCATTAGTCACTATTACATAATACATTATTCACAAATAATGGAGCTCAAGGTGGTAGAATCAAATGTTAAAAACACTCTGCCATTCAGAATACGAGTGTATTGTGCATATTCCCAGCATATTGAAACAAAATTTTCATTTATTAGAGCTTTAAAGAAATCTAAGGATACGGTAATACATTAAACAATCTGTTAGCAACAAATATGTTAATGAGATCATTTAAAACAATAATCAATGATTCACAAAAATCACAATAACATTTATTTATATAAATATCAGAAAGAAATACCCTCAATCCTGCAATCAAACCACAAAGATTGAACAATGACTAATAAAAATGGGATTTTTTTTTAACTCAAAAATTGGAGCATCGACACTAACCATCAAAGAAATCGCTCGAGAACAAATCGTCGTCATCACTTTTGAGATCCATTAACCGGTGACGCCAGAAAATCGGCGAATTTTTACTCCTTTTTTGGTCGAAAATTCAAACAATGCAAATTGATGGAGAACAGCGGTGAATGATTTTAGTATTTTACGGGTGCATAGGAATGGGGAAATTAGAAATCAATTGAAGAGAATGATAAAGAAGGAAGAGCAAAAGGCCGGCAATGAAGCGGCTGAAATTTGAAGAACGTCGCAGTTTATTAATCCAGCTCATAATAATCATAATAACATTCAGAAAAATCCAATCCGATTTTTGTTTCTACACCACCACTTTTGAATCGAAACGAAGGCCTTTTGTTCGATTGCATAGATCTCTCTCTCTCTCTCTCTAACACTCCGATTTTTGTTCCTCTCTCTAGCAATGTGCAGAGAAAAGTTGTTCATATATAGTATTCGCAATGTAATGATACACTGTGCAATGGCCGCTGTGCATGATGGGGACAAAGCTGTTGGGGGTAATTTGGGAAATTCAGATATAATTACAGGCAGATAGCCGTGTCGGTTTACGGCTTCCCCTTTCCCTCTCCCACGAGGAAACTGCCAGAGACTCGTGTGAGTTTGGTCTCTATCTGTGCCGTCTCCAAACAGGTTAGGCCCACAAAAATCTTTAATAAAGACAAAGGGAAATTTTTGTTGACGATAGACTAAGCTCTCAACATCTCAACTTCCCTTTCATTGCTTATGTCATACGTACACTTAGATAATCATGTAAGATTCTATAGATCATAGCTTGACGGGGTGTAACGATCCTGTGCACTTCGACGTTGTAATCAGATATTGAAGATAATTTGATGAGATTAAGCTGACAATATATCTCAGCTTCTCTTTCATTCACGTGCATATCATATGCACATTTGGATAATCATGTAAGATTGAACAAACCATAGCTCAAACGAAGTGTAACGATCTTGTGTGCTTCGAGTAATCAGATATTGAAGATAAAAATTGTTGACCTTTAAATTTGATGATATTAAACTGACAACATATCTCAGCTTCTCTTTCATTCACGTGTATCATATGTACACTTAGATGACTGAATGTACAAATCATAGCTCTAACAGGTTGTGACGATCTTGTGCACTTCAATGCTCTAGTTAGATATTGAAGTATTTTGAATGTGGTAGAGATATAACAAACGAAAAATATGGGTGACGAGTGTTATATTATACTTTTACACACTTCTCTTAGAGTGAGAGGTCGATTATTTATATGTGGAGGTGGCCGATGGAGGTGATCCCTTCTAAAATTTTCATACGCTAAATAAAGGTTGAAAAGTTATAATTGATTGGACGTCACCACTGCAGGGCTATCACATCATCACTTTTTGTAATGTAGATGTGATGCATCATTTCAAATAGCAATAACATTCTAAACAAGTCATCTAGTCCTCAAAAGAAGTACGTAGAATAGGCGATGTGGAATAGAGTGTTGACGTTGCATGTCATTTTGCTTAATTATTTGCCACATAAATAGATGGGTAATAGAAATTAAAGTGCTCTAATCATACATAGAAATATTAACATATCGTGTATATAAAGTCTAAACGCTCACATTATATATGTGTCTGTGTACACACACTTACAGCACTCAAAAGTTGATTAATATATGATGGCTTTAGGTAGTTATACCATCAACGAAAGTTGATTTTGCATGACGGGAAAAGTTTTAGTCATGAAGGAACACGTTTGTGTTAGGCTTTTGTCAAAAAAAAGAAGAAAAAAAGTAATATGGTTAGGCCTTTATTTTTGTAGTTAAAAACATGTATCACGATAAATAGATAGATGACATGAAAAAGAGAAGGATTATAATAACTGAATTTATTTTCTTTTAATTTTTTTCTTTCTATCTTCTTTCATATCATATCTCTGCACATCATCATCAACAACAACAATAACAATAATAATAACAATAAAAAAAAATAATAACAATCTAATTAAGAATTAAAATTTCTTGTATAATAAAAATAGACACAAATACCCTTAACAAAATTTTGACGCACCATGAAAAAAAGGACAAAAGGGTGCTTAACCATTTTGCACCAAAATAGTGCAATGGGTTTCCGAGTGACTGCACCAAAATTTTGGTGCAAATTAGTGAAATTTGGTGCAATAGGATATGGGTTGGACCATCTTCAACCCTACATTAAAACTTGAGGTAATTTTTGGACCATTTTACATCAAACTAAAAATAATTTTCATCCCGTTCCATAAAAACTTACACTAAATAAAAAGTGTTTAATCGTTTTCTTCATTTTTCATTCTTACCAAATTATTTATAAACATATAACTACATAAATTACCAAATAAACAATTACGTTAAAGTAACGAAAATATTAAATTTATTAATAAATTTAAAAAATGTAGTACAATTTATAGAAACACTACAAATAAGGAAATATTAAACCATGTTATTAAAAAATTTCAAATGGGATATTATGATATGACGAAGTCGAAATAGTGTTGCAAGTTAATTCTTAGAATTCATATATTTATCCTACAAATGATCAATTAGTGCATTTTGACGACGACAACAAGGTAAAAGATTTGAAAAATCATCTAATTTTTTTGATAATTATTTTGATAGCATTAGAGTCTCGAAATGATCTTCTAGATTACTAAATTATTCACTTGTTGAATGTATCGTTTTCTTTAAATAATTTTAGAGTGATGTATGTATGTGATTGTTGTAATATATTTTATGTTGACTTTAAATATTCGTGTTTGTTACATTTTAATTTTTTTTTTTTTTTTAGTATTCTTGTTTTAATGAATTCCTTAACTATTATAATCACATTATTAAAATTTATTACAAATGCACATAATAATAATAATAATAATAATAATAATAATAATAATAATAATAATAATAATAATAATAATAATAATAATAATAATTTGTATTAAAAAATGTATAACAAAAATGGACACAAATACCCTTAATTAATTTTTTAACAAAGTGAAAAAGAATGACAAAATTGTAATTAACCATTTTGGTGCAAAATGGTATAATATCATGCTACATTTGAGGGATTTTGCACAATTTTTTGGTGCAAAATAGTACTTTGGCTCACAAATTGGAGTTGTACTTACATTCCCATTGCATGTGGAATATTTATAATTAAGTATTTGTTTGAATCTCATTCTTCTAAAAATTTATTTTTTTCACAACGTATTTTTTAATAAAATAATATTACACTCAAATTCAAATTTTTAATTATACATTTTCCATCAATCTGTTATTCAAAATGTATGCTTTTTCCCAAAATGGAGCTCAAACATGGACTAAACCAAACCCCACTTGAAATATACTTATCTCCCTTGTTTGTTTGTCATTTTTCACCTCATTTTTAGAAGAAATGTTACTGTTTATGTGACCAACTTAACCCCTTTTTGTCACTTTTATTTCACAACTTTCATTTTATGACGGCTATAATTTTTTCTCTTGCTCGTTCTTCATTATTTTCATAATGCATTTTTCTCTCTTCTTTTTAATAACATATTCTTTAATAAAATAATATTACACTCAAACACAAAACTTTCTTTATTTTTTAACAACACATTCTCTACCAATCTATTAATTCAAAATGCATTTTTAATCAAAAATGGAGCTCAAACAGGCACATAGTTCTTGATATATTTCATCTAAAAGAGCTATCTTGAGTCAATATTTGAACTACTTGTATTTTATATTTTCATACTCATTTTCAACTATACATTCACATAATAAATATTTTTCACGTGAACCCAAAACATTTTCCTGCTTTTTCGTCTCACATTTTTCAAAAAATCATGATTCAAAATATCATTTTATCTTAAAATTCTTAATCATGTTAAAATGGGACAACAAACAAATTTTGTCCAATTTGAAATTTTACAAGTTACTTGCATATAATACACACTATTTACATTGAAAGTGTGAAAAAAATGAAAGAAAACCCTAAAATCACCTCCCATTTTTTATTTACAAGAATTTTTATTTATTTTAAATTTTCGGGATTTGAATTTGAAATACGCACTGACTTTTTTGTACGTAGGGCACATGATTGGATCACGATCAACCCCACATGGGCAGTACAACTCTAATAATACAAAAGCCTTTACAGATTTTTGTCTTTCATTATTATTATTATTAGGAATATGCTACTTATATATAATGTGGTGTTTGTAACGATATCATCCTCGTATGGAGGGGGATCATTTCGAATAAATTATATTTTATTCGAAGTTGGTCCCCCTTCACGTGAAAGGGATGAACATCGTTATAGACATCCTGATATATATGTAGTATCGTCCTTATTATTATTATTATTATTATTATTATTATTATTAATTGGTCCTCGTGACAGATGGAGCCGAAAGAGAGATGTCGACAAGAAATGCTGAATTATCACCATCAGCCTAAAATGCACCTTCTACGGTCCAAAAAGTTTCATGACTGTTGTGCTTTCTCCTAATTTTGGAATGTCCCACTTGCGCCTTTAATTTTTGTAGTGCATATATTTTTGTCCTAGGCATAGATAATGTTATTTATTGCTACTTCGCCATGTGCTTTTCATTTAATTTCCACGTTGTATAAACTAAAAACATGTAAGGGACTGATGATGTATTAAAGTTGGTTTGACCAACTTTTCAATCAATTATTGGAGTGGTCTCGATTGTCGAATTCAAAATTCCTTTGACCGAGTGTGTCCTACTATGCGAGTATAGTATATTTATTGGGCAGTGTTGTGCACATATCACGGTGCACTGTACCGTTTACCGTCCTCTCACAACTTGAGGGGTCATGAGCAATTAAAAATTTGTGGGCCTCCCACATGTGAGTGGGCTATAGCCCGAGCTGCAATAATGATATTTATTTTGTAAGAACCAATTTCAGCCACCCATTTTAGAAACTTGGACTCCCATGATCACACATCTTCTACATCCTATGATATGCTAGCCCGACCTTTAATATGGTTGTTACTTGTTAATAATGAGTTCAATCTAACAAGCTCCTTTCGACAAATTGGTTAGGATTCGAACCATATTTAATGGCACAAACTATTAGAAATTGCAAATTATTGTTAAAATGTTAAACTATTAAAGATTAAGGCACTTACACGATATTATGGGGTTCGTGGACCAAGTTCAAACAAAGTGAGGTAGTGATTCATTATACTTGGGAGTGATTTTTATTATCAATGTGTGGGGGGGGGGGGGGGGTTGC